CGATCTGTGATGTGACAATACTTAGAGGAGCCATTCAGCAAAACATATAGTGTGTTTGCCTCGGGTTTCAATGGTACGCGATAAATGTGCCACAATTTGTCTGACAATCTTGGTATTATATGTAGCATTCTTACTGGATGGTAGTTAACCCTCGTGACACACGGGTCGTGCCCCGGTCTTGCGGCTCGAGCCGGACCACTAACATTGCCCAGATATGCTCCAACCGTTGGTCGGCGGCAAGGGGTCACTTGTTGGCGTGCTGGTGAGTCGTGCTCGAGGCTACAGAGCTTCATCAGCTTCGGTTGACCGCTTCCATCATGGAGGCACGGTCGTGTTGCCAGTAACAAGTTGCCATTTATTTCTTTAAACTGTCCGGCTGGTTTCCTTTGTCCGACTCACGTCCATTGGTTTGACAACCGCGTCGCTACGTTTCACGCCCGTTCATACTTTAGATCCTGCCGACCCCCCCCCCCCCCCCGCCATTTGGACATGCTTTGTCCCGGTCTCAAGCAAACTCCTACAGCTCGCGTCGCTCTTTGGTAACGCCCAATGGAGTCGTCGCCGGTCATGCATTTAGCTCCAGCGGCCTGCCGATCTACATTGGACTGGAAGCCGCTCGGTCTGGCAGCGACATCTGTCATCTTGTAAACGCCTAATGACCAGCCTCGAGTGATTTGTAACTGAATGTTACTGTTGCTATGGAGGTGCACATCCGGGGACATGGTCTGTTTCATTGTCGTGCGAATGTGCTGCAGGCATGTCGCTTTAAGTGCTCACTTGGGTGAGCCTGTATGATCTTTATGATCGATGCCATGCTTGGGTGGGGGGCTCGGCTGTGTTGGGGCTCGCTGTGTTGGGGCTCGGCTGTGTTGGGGCTCGGCTGTGTTAGGGCTCGCTGTGTTGGGGCTCGCTGTGTTGGGGCGTGTCGTATTGATACGCATTGTGTTGCAGCGTGCTGTGCTGTGGGCATGCTGTGTCTCATGAGGTCGCGTGTTTCGAAAGGTTACGGAGCGTTCGCTGTTTCGGGTCCGTATGATTTGAGACCGACCTCGTGTGGAGATGATGGGGCGCCATGGGTGGTGCAGGGAAGAGGGGTAGCCAGAAGAGGGCGGAATGTCGTGCGATGAATAGAACGTCAACTCAGGATAGCATGGCAAGATCAAAACAGGACGAGTTAGGACGTTCAGAGATAGGTCGCAGCGTAGTCTGCCATGTATTGTGCGCGACACATATTTAGGTGCTCGGAAGAAGAAAACTAGACCTCTGTTTGTAATGTTACTGCAAGCGAAAGTATACATTTGCGATGCGTCCGTCCGTTTATATGAGCAATACGGTATCTTGATGTTTATATAGTGGCCGTTAGGAAGGCAGGAGCGTGCGCCATTTCGGCGCCATGTTCCGCAAGGTCTTTGAGGGACGGGATCGCAATGTTGTTGATTTCTGAACACTCGAATGTGGTAACTTGTTGTCATGTGAACGCATACACACGGGGCACGTGATTTCGGCTGTCCCTGGCCGAAACATACGAATTCTTATAATTCGTCAGCAAAGCTTGATCAATGTGTGACATAACAAGCAAAGAAAATTAAATTGATACACACTGCGACGGATCACGCCAGTGCGGCGATTCAAAATAGATTATTTCATCGTGAGTGAACATTACGTTAGCAGCCTCGTTTTGAATCATGTAGCCTCAGCAGTTGAGCACGTCCGTAAGTCCCAATCACTGCAAAAAACGAAATAAAATTGGTATTTAAAGCAATGGTAGCGCAGTCCATCCGTCAATGGCTTCGTGCCCCTCTGACATAGGCCCTGAATTACTCTCACCCAGTTGGCAACGAACTGAATTAAAAAGCGGCGCCGTGGCTATAAGGCTACAGGGGCAGACTGGCTGGAAGAGCCTTAACCAGTTACCACTGCCCTGTCAAGCTGGAATTCGCAACATAAATGTAAATAATTTGCGAAGCAAAGAAGGAATTTTGACGTTAACATTTATCAGCCATTAGAGAGGTGTAAAGCAATAATTTGTTATAATCCAAGCAGCGTGGTTATTGCACAGATCAAGAAGAAGAAGAAAAAACTATAAAAAACCTGTCAATCGTATCGGGATGGGCAAACGGACCATGAGCTTTGTCGGAAGTATGATGGTTTAGCTAAGCTGAAAACCACATGATCCATTTTTGCATTGACGTGGCAGCAAACCATTTAGAGGCAGGATGCTGCGAGCAGGCCCTGATTAGGCTATCACAGGGAAAGGCAGTCTCATAGCTTCATGCAAAGCGTAGTCGTACTGGGTGAAGGACCTTCGAAGTTCAGTGGCATTAAAAAGCATGAAGCCGCGGATGAATGTGCTGCAAACAGATACAGGTGAGATTACCACAGGACACGATAGTATTTTTACTTTTTTCCAGGCTGATTATCAAAAAGGTATACGTGTGTGGTGTAAGTGCGTGCGGGAATAGCCACGGTTGGATGTGTGATAGTGTTTGGGGCTGACCGAATTCCTTTGATGGCGAGAATGAGATAAGTAAGCTGGGCGACGCATCACTGAACGGAGTAATGTAAAATAGTGCTGGCTGGTATGGTGAGCAATAATCCGCCGGCAGCATCGGGCTTTTCAAAGTACGGTTTCTAGCTAGCTTGACAGAACTCAAGACAATCGAGGTTTTTCCATTAACTAGGCGAGGGGAACGGGTGATTTGTGTTGATCAAGCAGGGGCATCCTTATTCCCAACAGAGCTGGTCAAAAACAGCTTAAGACCTCGTACAATGCAATGCCCTAAGACGTTGTTAATTATATATATATACACACACACACACACACACACATATATATATATATATATATATATATATTATATATATATTATATATATATATATATATATATATGTATATATCTGGTGCACAGAAATATGAGGCGCATCGGCTGAGCATGCGCTTAATATGCTCTGCAATGCACGCAGGAGTTAACGGGGTCGTGCATTCATCGATGTTGGCTCACATAGGAAACCAAATACCTTTGGTGCCTTCGGTGTTCCGCCCCCTCTCCCCGCCTTTCCTTGTTCGATAACACCGCAGCCTCGCGTCCCATTAGCGAGTACGCCGTGCTGAACCGCCCTCACGCTCGCCCTCCAGACGGCGGGTCCGGCGGCCGACCTCAGCCCTGGTCCAGCCGTGCTGGCCCTCACTTACTCTCCAGACGGCGGTCGGGCGCCGACCTCAGCCCTGGTCCAGCCGTGCTGCCCTCACTCACCCTCCAGACGGCGGTCGGCGCCGACCTCAGCCCTGGTCCAGCCGTGCTGCCCTCACTCACCCTCCAGACGGCGGTCGGCACCGACCTCAGCCCTGGTCCAGCCGCGCTGCCCTCACTCACCCTCCAGACGGCGGTCGGCGCCGACCTCAGCCCTGGTCCAGCCGTGCTGCCCTCACTCACCCTCCAGACGGCGGTCGGCGCCGACCTCAGCCCTGGTCCAGCCGTGCTGCCGCATGAAGGCCGTCACGCACGCCAGCGCCGGCGCCGAGAGCGGCGCACTGGCCGCGCAGGAGGCGGTCATCCCGGCGAAGAGGCCCCAGAGGAGCGCCATGGCGCACCGCGCCGACGACGGCACGGCCCACTCTACAGCGGACCGCCGCCGCGACGGCAGGGCTCGAGACCGGGACAGGCGGCGCGAGACGCCGCCGCGTCGCTCTTTTGTCGTGGGCGCAGGACGCCCGCCGCGCCGCTCTTTTGTCGTGGAGGTTCCAGCATCAATACGATTGGTGGCGTTACTCGCCTTGCCTAAGTAAACTTTTCGACGCATCGCCGTGTTTGGTTGATAGTCATTATCGCCGGACTGAGAGGCTTTAGCATGCCCTTATCGGTGAGCTGCTCCGATATAGCTGCTCCAATAGGTGAGCTCCTGTTGCGAGTTCGCCTGAAGCGGTATTACTTGTCTGCAGAATTCTGTTCGACTCGGGTGCCTCACAACAAAGACGGCCTGTGCAAACACACTACAGGCTGCATCGCCAAACGCCACATGTCAACGAACTGAGGTCGGAAAAGCATGGCCAATATTGGAAATGATGACGTAGCAAGTGCACTTCCGGGGAAAATGAAATGTTGGTACTCGCCTGAGGCACTGCGATGTATTCTGATGGCGCTTAGTAATCTTTCACGGAATGAAAGCTAAAGCCAAAGACCGGAATGAAATGCACTGTACACGAAGAGACCGAATGACCAGGTAATGAGACATCAATGCTAACGCGTAGAGATGGGAACTCGAAATTGACTTTGGGAAACTCTATCAGCATGACAAATTTTCAATATCTGCAGAGCATGGCATAGGAATGATTGAGTTTCAAGTCAAACGTTTATTCATGTTTGCCAAGTGAGTCGGCTTGTCCTTGTAAAGAAAGCAAATACGGCACCCTTACTTTCGCTAACGACACTTTCCAATACGCAGGCACACTTCAGTAATATGAACCGAGCAACTGCGCTTTTGACAATGCCACCAGTCATGTGGACAAGGTGCCGTGCGCACTGCACACGGTGCAGTGTTTGCACACAGCGTGGGACGCAAACGCACGCTCATTTCATCTTTTCTTTGCAGTTGAATTTAGCAGTCGCCGTCTTCTGGACATCTGCAGCCATTGAGCGAAGCAAGTCTGCTTTACCACTGCTGTATACGTATCCTGTACACGCCATTTCTGCCTGTCCTGAGCACAGCAGCCCTTTCCGCGGCGACTATCCGTGAGCAGATGGCAGCACCTTGCTCCTGAGATGATCAAGTGAATGATCGTAAGGGGTAGCAGCTATACACAATCTCCAGAACAGTTGCATCACAGAACTATTTTGAAAACCGTGATCGGCACACAACCTCCGCCTGGCTTTACCCTAGAAACGTCGGGCTCTGTTAGGCTCATTTGAGAGAATAGCCGTCATTTTCGTACCATGCAGCGCAGTGTCATTGCTGCCCAGCCAGCTGTTCCAGGATGCTGTCCCCGCGTGGCGGGGCAGGATGCGGAGTGACGTCCAGTGCATGGTCTCAGCCGTGCTAGAGTCAGACGGCGCCACCATTGACGACGCCGAGTACTTCGCCACACTGCCCGACGGCGCGTCCTCCCGTCTGCTCCCCGCTTCGGACCAATGGCTGCTGCCGAGCATCGGCGCCCTCGAGCAGGTGGCAGCACTGTCGCCCTCGGCTGGTGTCAGCGAGGCGGCGGCGGCGCAGCTGGTGTCTGCCATGACGCAGGCTTCAGGTGGATCTTGACATGGCGTGCACATAAGTCGCCTTGTAGACAGCAAACAGAATAAGTCGTGCGACGGATTTCGCTCGAGGGTTTCCCGAAAACTATAGAAGCTCTGTCATGTCGTCGGAAATAAGCGTACGAAGTTCGCAGGAGAACCATGTTCTTCTGATATTCACCAAATAGGCACAGCCTCATCTGTTTGGCTCAGGCCGGCTCTGCAGCTAAGCCAAAGCTTTCTAATGGGGCCAGGTCAAGAATTTGACCGTACGTTTGGAAGACTGACCTGCAGGCTGGAATGACCTACTGATTTCAACGACCCATTGACTTGAATGACCTATTGACTTGGGTGACCCGCTGACTTAGTTGATCTACTGACTGGAATGACCCATCGACTTAAATGACCTATTGACTTGAATAGCCTACGAACTTGAATATCAATCAGTTGGTCTTTGCGTGACAGCTCCAAAAATATGGCTTTTTGTATTGTCGCTTTGGGTAATGCTTGAAAAGTATATTATAATCTCTGGACATGCAAACAAATTGAAAACTTAATTGAGTTTACGGTACAGCTGGTAACGCCAAACGGTTGGTGCGTTTAAAGCATTATGAACTATGTGATTACCACGTTTATTGGATCTACGTGTTTACGCAGGAGACAGACCCCCACGTCCAAAAGCGCACTTTGAAAAACTCACGTGACCAGCCCGATGCTAGGTCATGTTAAAATAAGGTAGTGCATCTGTATTGCGCTTGAAAACGATGGTCGCTACGAGATAGTGAGGAATTATCATTGTTAGAGACGAATGAACATTAAATCCAACGGTTTTATTTTCATCAAGGTAAGTCCTCACGTTTGCAAGATTTTAAGCGGCCTGCATGAAAATTTGTTTTTTATCCGGCTCGTTTTTTCCCGTGTAGATGAAGGACCAGGTTGTCAGAAACGAAGATTTCTTTCTTTTTTTCTCAAAATTGCTCCGGATTCCGCCCATGTAAGCAGCATGTAGACCATGAGCTCATTGGCCGTGCAGAAGGCTAAGATTCCTCGGAGATCACAGCATGATAGACCGGTGTGCGATATCGGCCAATTTTGCTTGCCTTAAGAACGAATTGCTACGTTTTAACGCACTTCATGTCATCCGTATTTGGCAGAAAATTAATATTGTGTCACAACTACGATAACGTTTGACAAACGCAGATTTCACCGTACTACCCCAGGTGTTGAAACGCGTCAGTTCACGCCATTTCCATGTAACGATAAATTAAACGAGCCAGTCGATAAGCCCACCCCAGTGCCGTCTGATATGACATCAGCCGTCTAACAGGTGCATTGTCATGAGTCTGTGATTCGGCAAGCGCGTAGTTTAGACAGAGCATAACCGATGCGGCAGCAATATGGATGGAGTACACGTGATGCAGCGTGGAGTATACGCGCGCGTAATATGGATAGATTATATGCAATGTGGTGTGCGCGTTATAGGATGGATTATACGTGATGCGGTGTGGACGTAACATAGATGGAGCATACGCTATACGGCGTGCGCGTAGCATGGATGGAGCATATGCGATGCGGTGTGCGCCTAATATGGATGGGGCACACGCGATGCGACGTGCACGTGATATGGAGGGAGGTGTGTTTGTGTGTCATTGGGGCTTTACAACGCACTCAGCTGCTGAGGCTGTATGACGTCGCCTGCGTCTCACCCTGGCAGGAGGGGCGGGCACCGCAGGGAATCCAACCCCGCACCCTCTGGTTTCCCAGACGCGCAGCGGTAAACGCAGACGCGTTAAGCACTACACTACCGGCACCCATATATGGATGGAGGAACGCGATGCGGCGTGTACGTGATGTGGATGGAGGATACGCGATGAGGCGTGCGCGTAATATGATTGGAGGATACGCGATGCGGCGTGCGCTATGAGTGGAGGATGCGCGATGCGGCGTGCGCGCAATCGCGTATGATGGATGGCCTAAAAACCAGGTTGTTGGGCGCATTTTGCCATGCCGCATTTCATTACATAACCTAAATAATCACATCATTCGAAATTAACGAGATGTACTATGTTTCTTCCATGGCGATTGTTTTGTTCCGTCGGGATGAGACCCTCCAGTCATGATCGGCTGTTTCAGCTCTGTGAGATAACAGAGGCAGGCAAGCAGTGAGCAAATACTGACATCGTTGTGGATGGCCACTGACACCGTGTCTTACCCCGCTCAAGGACTCCGCTTCGATGTGTGTTCAGACACTTGGGCGAGACTCCGGTCACTGTGAGACCGGTCCCGTGCGACCCTGAGACCGGCGCTACGACCGAGAGACTGCTCCCGTGCGTCCATGAAACCGGCCCCACACGACCTTGAGACCGGTCCCGTGCGACCGAGGGACCGGCCCCTACGACCGAGAGACTGCTCACGTGCGTCCGTGAAACCGGCTCCGTGCGACCGTGAGACCGGTCCCGTGCGACCGTGAGACGGGTCCCGTGCGACCGTGGGACCGGCTTATGACTGACGGTCGCAGCAAGCGCGTCGTGAAATCGAACGTTGAGAGCAGTCAGGATGCGGTGATGAAGGCACTGCATTGCGGATGTCTTCCACAGTGCAGCGAGACTTGCGGAAGGATGCAAGGTACCCGTGGACAACAGGTGAATTTGCGTGGAAATGATGGCAAATTAGTTGACATTTGACCGTCCCTCTGCTCAGCCAGATATTTTCAAATGCAGTCCAAGCATGATCTCTTTGACATCTTACATAATCTGAAAGTGTTCGCTGGCAATAGCTTGACGGGTGGTAAAGGGAGTATACCAGCGCACCCGCACATCTTTTTAATCGTTGCCGTCATATACACGTAATTGAGAGTTTAATACCGCCGTCTGTTAGGGGCTGTTGTTTAGATTGGTGTCAATACCGAGACAGAACACCGTCTGCTTCAGCAGTCATGGCCATTTCCCCCCGCACAAGAACGCTTGTACTGTACCGAGCGAGCCGCTCCTTTTAAATGCCCCTGGCTGAACCTTTATTACGTTCTTGATGCTACCTCTTTGTCGAGCTTTGCCTGAGCTCACCTGTGCCTATTACGTATTCTCTTCTTCACTTTTTCTCTCAAGTGGGATGCCGTTCCAATGCAGACGTAACTTTTTCATGTATTTGCATTGGTATCTGTATTTGACATCAGCTGACACTCCACATACATACGTGGCTGTTATGTGTCATTAGTCCGAGAGATAAAGCAGTATGTAAAAAACTACGGAAAGTGATAAAGGATCATAACGCATGCACACATGCACGCGTAAAGAGGACGGGCCTACCCTATTGCACGAAAAGTGCCTGTCAGCGCGCTTAAATCTTGTTGAATTTGGTCATCGAACATCCACAGGCAACTCATTAATGGGAGACGCCGCCCGGTATGCGAGGGATCGCTGTCCTGCCGCCGTGCGCACCGCCGGGGGCGCAGGTTATGGTCCATGCGGGTAGCTCGGTCACTGGTCCGCGCGTCAGCTATGTTTAAAGCAAACAGGCAGGACCCTCATGTTCACCTCACTCATGGGCTTAGTACGCATTGATAGCAGTTTGTACGTCACTCATTCGGCAAGGCGTGGCAAAGTGCAGGTTATCCCGCGAGCGAGACACGTGATCATGCTTTCGTGGGCCAGTAACTACTCTGGCAGCAAAGTTAACTTCTTTAAGCAATCTCGTTAATAGCTGACCCCTGTCCATAAACTGAAACGCAGTATCTCACGCACGAGATGACCAGACCTTGCCCTACGGTCAGCAGCGCTCGTGGGAGGCAATGCGTTAGGAGGTGGAGACCGATCAGGACGCCGATGCTCTTTTTTACTACATCGCTGACGTGTATGTCCCAGCTCAGGTGGCGGTCAAATAGCAAACCCAAGTTTTTTTACGGCCAGGCACTCCCGAACGGTCTCCCCACCGACCCGTACGCTGACAGGCGAGGGTTCGCGGGTGTTGTGCCGGTTGCCAAGGAGAGGGAGTTCGGTTTTGGGTGCGTCGAGCTTGAGACCGTGGGCATGGTACCACGATGCTAAGGACAGGGTGGTTTCCATGCATTGGATGAGGGAAGAAAGGTCGCGTTTAACGTCGGATATAAGGATTTGGGTGTCGTCAGCCGGGCCATGCCATGCCGAGTCGCATGACAAAATATGTAGCATTGCCACATCCTCGCAGTGGTAAGTGGTAAGCAGTGTCAGGGAAATTTGCTCACCCTTGTAATATATCATTAAGGCCTCCTGCTATTAAAATATTTTAGGTCAGCGACCTATTGCCTTTACCTCACTACTTCAATTTATTTTGGCGAATAACAAGAACAGTTCCTACACCCATGAGCTGTCGACCATCACTGATTTGCCGCATGAATTTCCACGAAGATACTTATCTTCGAACTTTTCGAAAGTATCCCGCGGTGAAGATTCTCGTCGCTTTTTTTGTTTAATGTTGATGGAGATGCACTGGAGCTGTTCGTTTAGTTCTTTGACTGGGATTGCTTTCAGAGTTTTTTATTTTCGGTTAGCCAGGTGCAGATAATCCTTACATTGTTTTTAGCTTTCAATCTGGTTGCTACATTTTCTTTCTCACAGAATAGATTTTGTAAGGCATCCGGATTCGCATCATCGCCTTCTTAGCCTCATAAAAACCCACGAAGTACATCAAATGCTATATTTGCCATTGCATTCCAAATATTTTTTACCATCTTCTAATATGGGCGATATGAAGGAAACTATGGCATTTCGTGAAGCAAAATGGCACCTTGTAAAACCGGAAATGAGCATGCATGGTAGAATCTGTTATATCATTGTGGTTTGGCTTATATAATGATGCTGGGCTAACGTTTCCAGAGGTCATCTAAGTGTTCATCTGAAGGTGCTGAAAGCATCAAGTTTCTGTCTGCCGATATGGCTGCTATTGCATGAAAAACGAAATCGGGTGAACAGCTTCCCAATCGGTGACTAGCGAGTTAAAAGGGCTCGTAAAAAGAAGCCAACGCATGGAATACCACAAGATCAACCCTCAGTTCTGATACTGATCTTTGCTTGTCAACCGAACATGAACTGTCGCGCAGCGTTTGTGGGCTTGCTTTGCTGAGCGACGGAGCTAAAAGTCCAAAAATCCTTGAAAAACTAATGCATCGTGCGAACGATTTGTGTGTTTATTAGTCGCGTTCTATTCGACATAGTTTGTAGGATAGCAAGTCCGATCGATGTCCGATTGGCTCGCAAGGACAAATCGTCAATCCGTTGTGGTGGTGTTGTGATCCGAGCAAGCCGGGGTACGAGGCCGGAGCCAGGGGCCGTTGTGGTGGTGTTGTGATCCGAGCGAGCCGGGGTACGAGGCCGGAGCCAGGGGCCGTTGTGGTAGTGTTATGATCCGAGCGAGCCGGGGTTCGAGGCCGGAGCCAGGGACCGTTGTGGTGGTGTTGTGGTCCGAGCGAGCCGGTGTACGAGGCCGGAGCCAGGGGCCGTTGTGGTGGTGTGATCCGAGCCAGCCGGGGCACGAGGCCGGAGCCAGGGGCCGTTGTGGTGATGTTGTGATCCGAGCGAGCCGGGGTACGAGGCCGGAGCCAGGGGTCGTTGTGGTGATGTATCCGAGGGCATAAACACATTAGTGTCAAGGGCACTATCAACAGGCTATTTTACTTGCAGAAAGATTGGGAGAATCACACATGACCTTCACGACAATGGTCGACGTCTGCTCACTCAAAATATTCCGCTGCCTCTCCCTGTTCATACGCGTGCGCTCAGAAATGTTTATTGCAAAAAAATCCAAATTTGGTATTAACTTGATGGAAATAGTCGCTGTCGCTGGACCTATCTTACCAACGTAATCGCTCAACACGCGCTTGGGTGGCCGGTTGAGTGACCCTCGCTCGGGTGGAGGTAAACTTGATCCCTGAGATCTCAAACACTAAGAAGCTAGAGACACCGTATTCACAGGGTGGGCTGGTCTGCATGTTGACTCGCTTAAGTCAAAATTTGAGGTCCATGGGTCATGATCACTGGGTCAAATAAGGTCAAACAAGGTCAAACTCAAAATTGTTGTTCAAAGTGCCGCCAGACCTATTCATCCAACCACCTTGAACCTAGATACCTCTTCTAAGCAAACGTCACTGGTGTTTTTTTTAGGATAGTAACCTTGTTTGACCTTTGGAAGGTCATCATGGCCAAAAACCTAAGAGATTAATATTATTTTTTTATTTGAATAAGTGTTAAGAATAACGCTTGGCGGTAAGTTCCTTATCTAAAAACAAAAGATCGATCCGGGTCATTTTAGGTCTGTGACCTACTCTGACTTCCGAATTTGATGGAATATGTGTGTTACGCTTCCTGTTATCAAGACATCGGAAATAAGCTTTAAAAACTACCTGCTAAGGCAAACTCTTCAGTACAAATGGTAAGTCGGTTTTTTATGCCTGACCCTGGGTCAGTGGAATTTATTGCAACCCTAAATAAAATTGAAATATTGCCCAAGATCACCTAACAAGCTACCTCAGAGATGCATGGCTTCATGTAACACTCCGGTGTTTCATCAAATTCCCTGGAAACGATTCCCTGGAAATTGCCTCGCTGCCAGACATGGGCTAACTTTGTCAGCTAGCAGCCTTACCAATTACATCTAGTTTCTTTGACAAAAGATCTGCCGTTTGATTTCCTGCAACTATGCCATGGTTGACGCGGCAACGCCGCATCGTTCGGAAGCCACTCCGCAAAAACCTTCAGTAGACAAATTAACCCCAACCCGCGTTAAAGGTATGATATAAACTGGTTAGCTGTTACTTGGGTTCGAGATGAATTGTTCAATGCAATTAATTTAACAGCTTATCTCAATTTATGCCTGTGCTGTTCAACAACCGTTTTCTGTATCTTTTTTTCTGAACAAGAGTCGGCAAAACATTGAGCTAAATCTTATTACGTTATTGCCTTAATGGAGCAGTATAATACCTTAATACAGTAGGTCTCAACTTTTAGAGATGCGGAAAAGAACAGCGTTCCACTAACTGTCTCAAAAGAGAAAGGCATTTTCTAATGGTAAGCTTTCTGTGAATCTTTCTTTGTGTCCTTTGACGGTATGTTCATGCGACACTCTCGAGTGCGTGCGTTTTGCGCCACCCTTATAGCAGGGGTCTTGATATGCATATCTTAACTTTGGCATTGCGGCGCCGGATGGGCATGGGTAGTCACCCCGGTTTCAGCTCTTGGAACCCTGTATATACATATATATATATATATATATATATATATATATATATATATAGACGTGATTACGAATGCTTTAAACAGTTGGGTCGTGGTTCGGCGCAAGGTACTGCGCAACGTGCTTGATAAGTCACGGGGTTTGTCTTTTCCGAACTTTGACGGGGAGTCGTGCGACCAACGCGCGCTTTTTCGCCAGCTGTGCGACGTTGGCAACATTTCAGCACAAGTGCAGGTGGGCTTGAGGCTTCTTTTTGCTGCATCGTTCGACTGAATTGAAATATTGAATTACTGTTAGCATAATTGCGCTCGAGTTTTTATCATACCTTACAATGTAATGAAAAGGTGAAAATGCAATGGCACGACAATAAATGTTGTGTATATGAAAGATGCCTTCAATTTCCAATAACATGAAAATCATGTCTACTTGACTTATATTGACTCTGGCTGACACATTTGCTATCCGGCGTAAAGCTACATATCGGGCAGTGTATAGAGAATTTCCCGAAAAACGCTCACACCCAAGCGACTCCCACTGTAGGGAGGGGAGCACGTGGCCATGTCCCTACTGGATTATTTGGATGCATAAAATAGCATCAAATCTCATCGCGTCACATTCATATTCGTTTTGAAGCCCGGTGGCTTTATATGGGAACATTCCAGACAGCAGTGACCTTGATATTCGTGACTGATTCAATTCGCATTTCGCGGCTCGCACCTGGCTGATCAGTGTTCGGTCCCCGCAGGACTCGGTGTTGCATCTGCCCCCACCGGCAGACCGTCGCGAAAACTTTACTGTAGACACTGCGTTTCTACCGAGCCGGCCGCGTATACGTGTTCGATAAGTGACGTCACTGAAGCCCCACATGCCATACCATGCTGTTGAGTACCCTATACGTCTGGAAAACCAGAGGTGCGGGATTAGATTCCTCGAGGCGCTCGTCCTTCCTGCCAGGGTGAGAGGCAGGCGACGCCATACTGCCCGAGCAGCTGAGTGTGCCGTAAATCCTCAATGACGGCGATGGCGAAGCCCCATACACGCACGCCATTAGCGGCACCTGAACCACGCAGCGTGCCCGGCAACGTGTTGCTTCGTGGACAATAATCGGCCTCGGCGCGGCATTTAGGCGCTTTGTCTCGAAATGCCCACTGCCGCAGCGGGTTGCCATCGGTACATCTATTTGTTCGTTCCGCGTCGGCGTGGCAGGCCCGTCTGTAGATTCCCGAACACAGCCACTACGGCTGCCGTCGACAGTGCGTGAGCGGGCGAGGAGCCTTGGTCGTCGCCCTGACACCGCCTTTGCCGTCGCCAGGCGCTGACCTCACCGTCGAAGCCCAGTTCCTCACGAGCTCTGGCCGGTCTGAGGGACACAGGTCTCCTCGCTGCGGCGCAGGTTCGCTGGTGCTGAGGAGACAACGTCTTGAATAGGTCAGTCCGCCGCTTGGTGCGCTATTCACAGGTCTGTCTGTTCTTAGGTCACTGTCCACCCCCTTAAAGATAGTTCTATTCTACCGCTTTCCTGTTTCCATCAAATCATCTACAGCAACGGCGAAGGCTGACAGCGTAAATCTTCTGACGGGCCTGGCAGCGGAGAAACAAGCTATGATAACCGTTCACGGGACCAACATCAGCACGGCGGAGCACAGTGCCGCGTGGGCCGGTAGCGCAACTCACCCGCTGCGCGTCATCCTCTTCGACGACCCGCCGTTCACCACCGTCTCGCGCGGCGGCGGTGGCAACGTCACCTTCTCCGGCTTCCTGGTGGAGCTGTGGGCGATCCTGGCACTCCAGGCGCGCCTGCACTTTCGACTGGAGGAGCGCGACGTCGGCGGCTTCGGTTACCGCGGCGAGAACGGCACCTGGACTGGTCTGGTCGGCGAACTCGCCTACGGCCGTGCCGACGTGGCGCTCAGCTGGCTGTCCATGCAGACGACGCTCAAGGCCGTGCTCGACTACGTGGACGCCGCGCCGGTGATGTACGACGCGTACGGGTTCTTCCTGCGCGCCGACGGCGGCGGCCGCGCCCTGCCGGCGCTGACACCCGAGCTCTTCGGCTCTCTGCTACGGCCGCTAAGCGTAGGCGTCTGGCTGACGCTGTTGGCCTCGTTGGCCGTGACGACGACGGCGCTGCGGCTGGTCGTGCGGCTGAGCCCAGCCACCATCGAGGATGGCGAGGTGCGCGACACGTTCGGCTGGGGCGCCTGTCTGCTGGCCAGCTTCATGACGCTGGTCGGTCAGGGCTGGGCGCTGCTGCCGCGCTCGCCGGCCGCCCGCATCGTCGCGCTCTGCAGCTGGGCCGTCGGCATCGTCGTGTGCGCCAACTACACGGCGCTCACGGCGTCGACGCTGACGACGACACCCGAGGCGCTGCCGGTGTCCGGCCTCGGCGACTTCCTGGGCCGCGCCGACTGGACGCTGGCGCACGAGCGCGGCATATTCGCGCTGCAGAAGTGGCGGGACAGCAGCGACCCGGAGCTGCGAGCACTGTGGCGACTCTCGGAGGCCGGCGGCCGGCGGCGTTACATCACCAGCGAGCGCAACTCCAGCCTGGCCACCACGGAGCGGCGCGTGCTCAGCTACCAGGACGTGGACCGGCTGTACGCAAACGTCGGCGCTGAGGCGTGCCTGCTGCGGCCGTTGGCAGGTGTTGCGCCGCCCGTCCGCCGCTCTCATCTGGCGGTGCGGCGCGGTGCGCCGCGACTGCGCGCCGCACTCAACGCGGCGCTCGTGCAGCTCTGGCGCTCCGGCGCGCTGATCGGGCTTCGGCGGCGCTGGCTGCCGCGCCGCCGCGATCACTGCGCGTCAACAGCAGCGACGCTCTCGCCACTCGGTCCGGCCGACATCCTGCCGTTGCTGCTGCTGCCACCGCTGGCGGCCGCCGTCGCCGCCGGCCTCCTGCTGCTTGAGCACGCTGCGAGTCGTACGCGCCGGCGCAGGGCGGACGCGGCGGCGCGCGGCGGCCGCCTCCTCGACGGCGTCTCCGCGGACTTGCGCCGTCGCCTACTCGAAGTGACGGGAAGACGCACGGACGGGTTAGAAGAGGCTATGGTTCGCCAAAAGGCTCAGGCGGGCGGTAGGGGCTTGGCCTAAGCGCAGCATTGACGAAACCGCTCTGCGCGTTGTCTTTGTTAGTTGACGCGGAAACATGGCGTAGGGCACAGCCACAGCACGACTTAAGTTCGGAAACGGAAGGGGTCGCATGAAGCCCAGTGTCGACTGGGAGGACTAGTAGACATAAGAGATCACACCATGTGCACACACCACCATTCACCTCTCAAGCCTTGACGAAATGTTCATGTGGATGTCCCACCGCTAAAAGACGGCTACGTGATCTCTACATGTCTGCACATGCTTTGAAACATAGTGAGTACATGGCCAGTCCATGCTGCTTTCGCGCCTCATGGGACTGACTCGTCTGAGCTGCGGGTATGACAAACAATCAATACCCGCATATGCCTGGATTCCTCCAAGTCAACTGGAGAGCAAGGCGAGAAAATGTTACACATTTTAGGCTCGATCCCATCAAGCTGATCTAGCCCTAGCTAACTAGCGATGTTTAATCGGGGTAACACAAATTAGCACAAGACAACCAAACGTGTCCAGTTGTAAAAAACCTGTCACGCATTCGTCAATGTGTGCATGGCAAAATGTAGTGCATATATCTACTATAATGTCTCGTCTACTATGCCCCTGGTTGTTGTCAGGAGAAAAAAATAAAACGTGGCATTCGAGACCGGCTTTATTAACACCTGGGGAGAAACCTGCTTGTCAAGAGACTGTCTCTCGTCCATTCCCACCACCCCCACCAAAGGAATGTATATGGGGAACGGTTGGTGACAAGAGAAGCGCACCTGGACATTTGCCAGATAGGTGAGCGGAAATAGAGCGATAGTGCAACGAACACCAGCATCGAGGAAAACATTTTGGTCACAGTATGCGTCAACGTGGACCGACTAAGCACCTGACTTTTTGGCTTAGCCGTTCGTGTATCAGGGGTCAGATGTAGCGCCTGAGGGACCGCACTCATCTCCTTCGGTAGTTCATGCATAGGCGTAGGAACGTTTCGGAGAGAGGGGGGGGGGGGCGGCACGCTCAGGGTGTCAGGATTTCAGGAACTTTTTCTGGAAAGCGAGCCCGGTGACCGGGGGGGGGGGGGGGGGAGCAGGAATGAAGGTTGTTATCGCTCTTCATTCAAATGTCATGGCTGCTATGCTAGATATGCATCTAGGGCTGTTTATCACTGGTGCGCAATCTTGCCTATTCTGTCATTTCACAAATAAGGCTATCCAGCTTCCTTAGATTATTCGTCCATTTTAACACTGTCTTCCAAAGGGAGGCGAAATTCCACGAGCGGGCAGGTATTTTGGGTCATTAAGGAGGCATCTGCCTCCACAGTGTAGATGCTAAAACACGGCCTGGATGTAGGCTGGTGAGAATTTTGAAAGTGTATCGATGGCTCACAGCGCGACAGATTTTAATGCGTTTTATTTCGCTGGCTGTTTTTCAAGAGATAAGACCTGTCGCAGCATTTTAGGCGAAAACCAATTCGGGAGCTTGAAACTGATAGAAACAAGGTGATAAAAGCCATAAAACTGGAGATTTTCTTTTAAGAATCAAGCCACATAATAATGCCCATATGTCATATGTTTCTTATCCAGGCCCTGCTCCTGTCCGCCGTCGGTGGCCACTGCCCTGGCCCGGATGTCTCCCGCATGACTGACTGCAAACTGATCGTATGGCTGCTTTGTTGCATACTTTTGGACCAGCGTTACTACTACATGGTGTATGAAACACGTGTCGGACACCTGCAACAGTATCTTTTTCCGAATTATCTTCCCTCACACCACACTACCGCAGAAAAATAGCCTCCAGGAAGCTGTCTGCCTTAGGAATGAATTGGTCCAACGGACACTTCACTGCCCATCATGCAACGTATACGACTTGATCTGCTTTTGTGTGTAAGCAGGGGCGTAGGCAGAACCTTGCCAAGGTTGACAAAAGCCCAACTTATCGCGATCCTCCTCCTCCCCTCCCCCCCCCCCCCACGCTCCGGATATAGGCTACTTGTTAACAAGTGACACCGTTTTCTTTGTTTTATTGTTATTTTTACCTTGCAACCAGAACAGAAACCAAGAGCCACCGTGAGGTCAATTCTGTTTGTATTTTGAGGTCAATACACCGCAGAAATCAGGCGTTAAACGACTGAATGGATTAAATCACCGGCACTCTTTATTTACAATAGTTAGTTGACTCCTTCTAAACCAACAGAATTCATATTTTTATCTGGGTTCAAAAGACATTCAGGGCATGGTGAAATTAAATTGCAGATCGATATGCTTGATCCAAATTTGAAGATGAAAATTTGATTGCAGATTGAGTGATCAACAATGTATATTAACATGGCAAAGCCATGTTTGTTTGAAAGTGTTCACCATTCAGTCAGAATCGATTAGTGGTACAATTCATGTAACGTGCCTTTTAACATGCGCGCTCGCAAATCTATCAACAAAAACCTCGACACCAGGCGTTGCAGTCTCCTTAATCCGCGGAGCGTTAGCCCAGTAGATAATATTTAGCCGTGGCCCACCAGTGGACAAAAATGATGACGATTCTGAAATGATTGCCTTTAAACACTTAAATCAACTAGTAAGACAAGTTATGTCACGTAATTTTCAATATGCGCACTCGAAAATTTTAGAAACACAAGCCTCGACCGCAGGCGTTGCAGTCCCCGCAGGCCGCGCAGCGTCGGCCTAGCAGCTAATATTAACACGCGCCCGGGTGGCCGGCTTGATACCCTTCGCTTCGGGTAGGGGGGGGGGGTCAATTTGACCCCCTTGAGATTTCGGGATCTCGGGAACTGAGAAAGCTAGAAACACCAATTTTCAGGGTGTCTTGACGTGTACGTGAACTCACGTAGGTCAAAGTTTGATCTTCCTTGGTTGTGACCTTCAGGTCAGATAAGGTCAAACAAGGTCAAATTCCAGGTTGGTCACCAAAGTGCCCTCTGAACCTAGGAAACTGTTTCTAAGCAAAAGTTCAAAAGCCCATTTGAGGTCAGTGACCTTGTTTGACCTTCTGAAGGTCATGGTGACCAAAATCATACAAGACCGCTCTGAGTTCTGCATTTGAATTAGCGACAAAGATAACGCTAGGCAGTCTGTTCTTAAAACAAAATGTCGACCCGGGTCATTTTAGGGCAATGACCCCTAAGGAGTCAATGGAGGATGTATAATGCGGTTCCTGCTGTCAATAAATTCGAAACGAGCACCACAAACTATTCCATACAGTAAGCCTTAGAGCAACAAATCAGGTTGGTTGTCCCCTTGGTTTGGCCGTTATACCTGACCTTAGGTCAACGTAATTTGCTCATTCAATATTTTTAGTGCCTAAGAAAGCATCTCAGAGATGTATGGCTTCGTCAAACACTCCGTTATTGTGTCAGTTTGGACGAGTCCCTAGGAATTGCCTTCGCTGAAACCATGGCCTGACTTTGACCTTCCATAAGTAGCAACCTTGCAAGGTACATCTAATTTTTTATGTCAAGCGATCCGTTATTCAACTGCCTACAGCTATGCAAAATTCGGCGCGGCTACGCCTCGTCGTTCAGAACCCATTCTGTAAAAATCTTCGGGAGGTCAATTTGACCCCCACCCCCCCACCCCCACCCGAGCGCGTGTTAAGTTGTGGCCAACGGGTGGACGACAATGACGACGTTTCTAAAAAAGTATCCTTGGGCGCTTCATGACATCAGATCTTACATTTAGAAGGCAGTATGACCGCATATTTCACGTGTGCAGTTTTTGGGCTGATGAAAAGAACGGATTGACCCTTAAAGCACCGCGACATGGGGCTGGAGTCTGGTGATGGAACTGGAAGAGTAAAGGTAAAATCTACACTTTTCGTGTTTTCGCAGTTATTTATCCGTCCAGAATACAGATTAACACGGCGCCCACCGTCTGGGGGCACTTGCAGTGGCCGAAACTTATCGGTTTTACGGAAGTTGCAACCCATACTATCCTTGACCTTGCTGTGTAGGTTGTAGGCGGGCATGTCCACACCTTTTGATATAATTTGTTTCAATAGTACATTCCGAAAAAATAAACGTTCGCAGGCACACATGGCATTACCTTGCTCGTTTTTTTAAATTCATTTTAACCCGCGCTATTCAGCAATAACAAGAGCCCCACTCTACTCACCAATAATGAGACCCCTTATTTTCTTCCGGGCAAGGGGCCTGTTGAGTAGAGCTACAGGGGTACATCACCGCTTCCGGTCAAGGGCTGAAGAGCCACTCCGTCCCATCGCGGAGTGTCTTCTGGCTATCATTCTGGTGACACTGGGCGGGATCTTCTGGTCGATTCGGTGGCCATTACAAGGATATATCGTATCGCATTGTTCCCATCCCTGACACGCGAGGCCTTCTGATCCGCGCGTTTAGCCCCGGATCAGCACAGGAAACTTCATTGACGCAACAATATCGCTGGTCGCCGCAGGTAGTACTATAGTTGTCACAGACTCCAGTTCTGTGTGTTTCTGTGTTCTTCAGAGATATTGAGTTCTGCCTGCCTGTAGACTGTAGATGAAATCGGGTTCATAATTTGTATTAACATGGCTAACCCATGTTCGTCTTAAAATGCTCAAGATCCTGTCAGAGCTGATTACTGACAAGAAAACTACGCAATATGGTGTTGAACATTTTGTTTGCAAGTCATAGCAACAACAGCATCGAATCCCGGCGTTGCAGTCTCCAGGCAGTGAGGCGCCGGACTTGAGACTGTATACTAAGCAATGGCCATGAGCAAACGAAAAAGATGACTCATCGTAAGGCTGGTGAACTAGGTAAATCGGCATTCATGTTTAATGTAGTGCAAAAGTAAGCCAAATTCAACCTTAATCTGAAAAGTGGGGTGGGGGGGGGGCAGTTAACATTGCTGCCTCCCCCTGGAAAGTGGGGGGGGGGCATGGCCCCCCTGCCTCCCCCCCCCGTGTTCCTACGCCCATGAGTTGATGTCTATCTTCTAACTCACTAGGGGCAAAGGAGACCTTTCGGCGCAACAGTCGATGACTCGTGCTGCCTTTAGCATCGCACGATGCGTCGATTGTTAAGATGTGGGGCCTCTGCATCTAGTTGGCATAACCATAACCATAACATCTGCACTGGCATAACCTGTGAAGGTTTGAACCGATATCTTTCTACTGAATTTTTCCTTAGCTTTGCTCACTCTCAATCGTGGGCACTGCTGGAAATACCCAGCGTTTTTGGGGCACATCTATATCAAGGATTGCCTGACATCGTTTAACCAGTACGCACCAGCATTCGAAGCGTCGGTTAATCTTAGCGAAAGAACTTGATCTTCTGAAAAATGAAAACAACAAAACAGGTGAAGAATTACGTCACTCAACAATCAGTCGATTGTCAGGGTGCGGTCCATCCTGCGTCGAGTACCTGTTCGCCATTGCGGGGCTCCGTGAAATGCACTGGGTGCGCCAAATACCCGTACTTTCCCGAATGCAAAGCTATTTTCTGCTTTTGAATGTTTTTGACCAGGCTTTTTTATTGCTATTCAGGCAACCATTCTTACATTATTCATTGCTTGGTATGCATTCATGACATAACTTGATTCATTGCATATTCATTGCATACCTTTATTCAATGTCTCGGTACCTATAAGTATGATCCTTTTATAGGTAGTTATTTCTTGACTATTGATATCTATGAATTGGATTATCTATATGTCATTACTATGAGCGTTAGCATGAATACCACTCATATATTCCAATGAAACACAGTGAAACGTGACCCTCAGTGTAAGCTAGAAGCGCCTTTAGCTCACGTGCGTGAAGTTAGTGATATATTTAACGATTTATGTGGCGGCGAGCTCCAACTTTGATGAAATGCGTCAGAAGTTCAATTATGGCACGAGAGCACCGGAACGCCGGCTTTTGGCTTTCGGCCATATACGTTGGAAATTCTTCTGCCGACAGTGATAAGCCTTTAGGTACCAATGAGCTGTACCGGCTGCACAATTCATCAAGTAAGGACTATGTCATCACGGCCAGCTTCTTCGGCTTTCTCGAGTGCTCATAAGCTCCCAACCCCCTCAATAAAATCTTTGCTGCGGCTCTGTCCCCCATGCTTGCTTGGAAACACCGTTTAACAGGTGCAGTTTTTGAAACACAAAACGCGATAAAACTGGAACTCTCTGGACCTCCAGACGACCAAGAACAGCTGTAAGCGAAAGTGAACGGCTTATGAGAAGTAAACAAAATCAATGGTTGGATAAGTTGTGAACTGGAAATTTGAAGCCTCATTTCACTGTCTATCGACCCCATGCTGTTTCTGGGAGACCTGCATGTCCACTTGCCAGATCATTTCGATAGTTGAGGAGCATTCTATGTTGCCCTTCATTTCTTTGCATTTGCTCGGGGGGCCCTGCGCTGTTGTTGGGGCCCTTCCTGCTACCGTGCCGGGGCACTCTTGTCAAACACGGACCCTTCCTCGTGTTCTTTTCCTTCGCCAGAAAGGCTCTGTGGGCTACAGCCGGGGTCCCATATCTTAAGCTGTCGGGGTATTCTCGGTTACTCATGGGCCCTTTCCGTGGGTCTCAGTTAATCTACCGACACACTTGCAATATGTTCATGGGCCCCCTTTACTGGTCTAGGACGCTTCCAGTCTCTGTCACTTGCCTAGGGCCCTGCAATCTTGTCGGGGGCCCATCTGATGGCCCGCTGGGCACACCAGTCGTTCGGGGACCTTTCACACTGGGTGTTAGGTGCTTCTTTTGTTGATGGGAGGCCCCACGCTTTAAGTAGGGGGGGGGGGGGGGGCGGGGGCGGTAACCAGATATGGCTACCTGCTCGGGTACATTCGATCATTCGGGGGCCCTCGATATTGGGCCTTGGGCACGTGCTATTTAAATGCGCCCTACGTTCTTATCGGGGGCCTCTCTGTTGGGCTCCTCGGCCACACTGGGTTGCTCGGGGGCTCTGCACATTGGTTCTTGGTGTTTGAATTTAGGGCACTCCGCTCCTATCGGAGTCATCTGATAAACTGCTCGGGTACACTCCATCTTTCGGGGGCCCTTCGCATCGGCTTTAAGGCAATTCTTATTTGAATGGAGGGCCTTACGCCCCTGTCGGGCCGCTTCTGATAAGATGCTCGGGCCCATTCAATCGTGGGAGACCTCTACATCTGGTTTTGGGTACTTCCTTTTTGAATGGAAGGCCCTCCGCGCTTTTCGGGAGCCCTATCTGTTAACTTACTTTGGCACACTCGATTGTTTGGGGTCCTCTACATCGTGTCGTGGGTATTTCATATTTGAACGGAAGGCCGCACACTCTTGCCGAGGCCCCATCTGTTAACCTGCTCGGGCACACTCGAATATCCGGAGGCCCTCCACATAGTATCTCGGGCACTTCCTATCTGAAGGGAGGGTCCTGCGTACTTATCGGGACCCCATCTGCTCGTTGTTTCGGCCTCACTGAATTATCCGGGGGCCCTGTACATTAGGTATTGGTGTTTGAATTAAGGACCCTTCACTCCTGTTTGGGTCACCAGATAATCTGCTCAGGTATGCTCCATCTTTCGGGGGCCCTCCGCACTGGGTTTTGAGAACTTCTTATTTGAATGGCGGGCCCTACGTTTTTCTCGAGCCCCCTCTGAAAAGCTGTTTGGGCACATTCTATCATTCTGCGCACTATTGATCGCACAGCGGCACTAATTCATGGTCTTGAATAATTCCCCTTCGTTCGGAGAGGTTCTGTACTCTGGCCGGGGCTTTAAAAGTCAGCCTGTCGAGGCACTACCGGTCGTTCATGGGCACCCCACCTGGGTCTTGGATTCTTTTTTCTTACTCTTTGGACCCTATAAATGTTGACGGGAGCCACTATGTTGGCCTCCTGCGGCACCCATGATCGCTCAGGTTTCGTCCCTATTGGCCTTGGTGCCTTCGCCTCAGAGCAGCGGTCGATATGCGCCGATGAATTTTTACGCGCAATTGCCGAACATGCCGCCGATGTCGTATGTGTCATTTTCGTTAGCTATTGAGTGTGTGACAGTTATCATGCTAGTGCATCACGTTCTTAACATATTTCGAATGCTATGATATGTTGTACTCCTTTAAAACGGGGGAAAAATTCTGTACTAGTCATCAGTCATCAACTGACTACATCATCCAGTCGGCTAGCCGTAAAAACGTAAGCTAGGAATGAAGTCCATGCTTGGTTTTGATGGTTGTGAGCAGCCAACTAAAGTCTATTTTGCCTGTTGTTCCGGAGCACTTAGGCTCAAAATCACAGCTTTTAACATGATTTGTAGAAAATGAGTGAGTTCTATGTGTATGCATACGTAACACGCATGTAACACGTAACACTTTATAAGGCCGTGCACAGTGAGATGTGATATATATATATATATATATATATATATATATATATATATATATATATACATGCTACATGTCATTTGTCATAAAATGCAACGACCGAAATGCAGGGATATTTTTTGGAGAGGCCCGCAAACTTCAGGGGGCCTCACAATGTTGCGTCCCCCCCCCCATGAATAAAATCCTGGATCCGCCCCTACCTGAATACGTGGCGAGCGTATTTTTGGATATGGCGAGCGAGCGGTTGTATTCGTGTCCTGGTCGTCAGGCGTTGTCAGTGCAACGACGACGACGGGGGGGGGGGGGGGGCAAATGAATCCTCGGGGACACCCTCTCCCCTTCCGCGAAGGCTTAGGACACCACTGAGCCTTGATGTAAACAGCTTGCCTTGTTCTGCACCGTGCCCGAAGCACCTTTAGGTATTCCGCCATCAGGGGTAGCAACACCGTGAAGGCATGGGGACGTGCCCCCACAATTTTCAGAGCGCGGGGTACTGTGGCCTGCAACTTCAGAGAGACCCGAAAATGTCAAAGGCATGAACACGCATTCTGGTGAGATGATGTAAATGACAAAATATCACAGAGGCCGGTAAACGTATCTGAAATGCTATCGCAATGCCCCAAGAAGCGAGTGGTAGCGAGAAATAGCGAATACACTGGGCGTAAATCTTTATGAGTAGGAGATTCCTCGCACTGTACACGAGGGGGTCTGCGCTTGTTGCTTCAACTTTTCACCGCCATTTCCAGCTTCTCGGCTGTTTTGTTCACCGGGTGAGACATTGCGCGTCTTTTAGGGTTGTGGTCACCTCAATATTGAGGCGCCTTCCTCTTACCGGGAACGCTCCACATTTGAGGACATGGAAGCAAGCATCAGACATGAAGTACACTCACTTAGAGTTATTTGTATATTTTGCGGGGAAAGGACTGCTACAGGCAACACAGCTTCTCGGTTGAGCAAATATGTTCTTTAAAAGGAAGTGTTTGTGTTCTTTAAAAGTAAAGAAATGGAAGCCTTTTATACTTTTGGGTGTCTCTAGAATAATAGATAAATGTTTCCTGAAAGTTTTCTTCCAAATGGTTGTTGTATTTATATAGCAAAATGAACCACAAACACCGATTTCACATACATGTGAACTTAAGTCTGTTGTGCTCAGTAGTTGTGCTTGTAATAGCCTTCACACGGTCTTTTTTGTAGCACATGTCACGAGTTGCCTCTGGCTGCGTCTGTCACTGGTTACGACTATGGAGGCCTATATGACAGAAGCCAAAAACAGCCGATAGTTTTTTCAGGTGCACCACCAGCAGGGAAAACGAAATGCATTTTGGCGAAGGGGACCAAAAAGAACTAAACAGAGAAGTTGAGCTCGATCACCTCTCAGTGTCTGCATCACGTGACTGGATCTGCTGGCCCCGACCTCGACCTGCACCGGGACCTCTGACATTACCAAACCACCCATCTGAATCCAGCGAAGCTCAAGGTGTTTCATTATTGTAAACCAATTTTCGAAATTTGTGAACACGTTTCGACTACGCTCCTTAAATCCAGTGACAATGGCTTGGTGATATGATTATGAATGCGTGATGACAGTGCAGTGAGCCTGTTGAAATTTGGAACAGGCACACCGCACTCGTTTGAATCCACTCTTCCTACTTGCGCTCGTTTTAGGCCTCCCGCACCAAAATCGATTGAATGTCGGTGCCGCTGATGATAAAAACAAATCTATGGATATCCATAACTTAACATTTTGCTCGCAACCATCCTGCTTTTCATTCATGCTGCACCAATAGCGAATTTAATCTGTGGAAATAGCACTTTAGGTAGTAAACAGTAAGTACAAAACGAGATGGCTCTAAATGTACGTTATAAACCTAGGTTACATTTGGTATAGTTCATGCTGACTTTAAACTACACTGAACGAGCCTGACAAGTGACTTCGGTTTACCCATCACGGAACACGAGAGTGCAAAATGAGCTTGAGCCTCCTACGCTGAAACTGATGGCTTTTGCATCTAACTTAAGGCTGCAAGGGAAATATGGTATAGCATGTCGCCGCGCAGAGCTGAAAATGACATCATTTAATTGTGCACAATGCCACGCGTTTGGGTCAGACTTATTTTGTAACCTGTTCCGTTATTACTTTGCAATGCCGATGAAGAACCAGCCCAAGTACAGCTAAGGTGCATGCCGAATGTGTCATGCATTCAGTCAAAGGACATTCCCGCACGCCGCCGGCGCGCAGCAAGAACATTTTATCATAACTTTATGAAAGATATATCGATACTCACCAACTTAAAAGGCAGTGTTCCACCACTTATAAGGGATTTTGGACTGACAAAGTCATCCGAAGGATCATTCGATGCAGTTCACAGCGATTCCCTCCCTAAGACCAACACTCTTGTACTTTCTGAGGCACGCGCCCGCAAAGATGTGCAGACTATTTCGAAAAGACCATTTCAAGGTCACCTAGAGGTCCATGACATCATAATCAGTTATTCGAATTTTGTCATTCCATTAGACATTTGGTGACCAAGGCCAAAGCAAATATAGTTGTCGAGTCGTTTATTCCTGGCGTTCGTGAGCAAAAGATCCAGATATAACGGCCGTCAACTGGCTCTCAATTTTGTTTTGTTTTGTTTGCCCAAACAACTTTTGTTGTGATCGGAAAAGGTAAAGTTGGTTTTCAGAATACCAGCAGCCTAAATGG